CAGAGACCAGAATGTCCGTTCAGCCCTGGAAACACGGCGAGCCTTTTGACGATGACCCTCCCTCTCATCTCCGATCGTTGGAAAAGAAAATGTTGGTTATTATTTGGAAAAGGCCAAGTCTCACCGATTTCGATCATTTCTTTCACGAGGGACTGTTTAATCGAACTAAAATTAAATATCTCTAGGATTATGAATTTATTTCGGTTGCTTTACTTCATTTTTCCCTCGAATGTTTCATTTCACGTTATTGATATTGGTTATCGGTGATTCGAAACGAAAGTTGTATTATTGATATTGGTAATTCATTAACCAAAGCATTTGGATGGTCGTATGCAGTCTAATAAATAGTTCATAAGTAATGTTTGTTGTTTTTTGAAAAATGTATTCCAAACATTACATGTACTGCTCTCAACCTAACACTTTGATGACCACACTAATTACCACTGTACTTCTAATCATTTGTTTGACTTGTTTACAAAATCTGTGTTTAAAATAGTCAATTTTAACAACAAGAACAAAAATTGTACACTATACAACGAATGTTAAATTTGTTTTGAGAGGTCAGAAGATCGCAAATAATACTACCTATGTAGTTTCGTTTGTATTTCACGCGCAAATGTCGAGGAAAAAATTGTTTAAAAATTATCGATGATCGACGAGACTTTTCATTTTTGAAATAATCACCAAAAAGTTACCGGCAGTGCGTAAATTAGGTCAAGTTGAAGGAGGACGTTTCAACGCACGCGGGACGTAAGAAGCAGACGCAAACGGGGATCGTAGGAACAAGCCAAGGGACAAAGTATGAGAAAAGCAAACGAGAAGCTTTCCTGCTTTCTCGTTTGCTCTTCCGTGTCTTTCTATTCGCCTGCTCGTCTTCCTCTAGTTTTGATATCGCGTCTTTCTTTTTTTTTCTTCTAAATAATCGTTGCGCGTTGTAAAAAAATTGCTTTTGATTTTTGGCTGCTCGAGCTGGCGCGCGAGCGACGCTAGTTGACCTAATCGAAATAGTTATAATATCGGTTTCGGTTCTTAACAGGGATTCTAACTCAGACCTAACTCTGGATCGAGTTTTTAGTAGAATGATTCACTTATCCGGGTTAACCAATGCACGAAGACTTGATTAACCCGGTTAACTCGCTCTTACAACGGGTCGTTTTACTATAGTTGACTCTTGGAACCCACTCTTGAAAAATAGGTTACTATTTAATTCCTATTGGTTATTCTCAATAATTTATCATACAAACAGAACGGTGCAATTATCACATTCGAAACGCATTACAACATCGTTGATCAGTCGATGCGAAATAAAATTAACAGTAGGTTATTTGTAGCACTTAAATCGTAAATACCGCGCGTTCGCGAGAAGTTGTTTCGACCAATAGGGCGCGCCAAACTTGGAACTAAAGTGGGGAACCAATCAGACCCGCATTTCTTTCGCTAGCCAATTTCTCGCGGACGAACAATATATTGTCTGGTCTTATTACATATGTACAACGAGAGTCAAAAGTAAATATACTGTACACACCTTTCGTAAATATTCAAAACTTCCTCTTGTCAGTAAATAATGCTACGTTTCACTAATAATAACGGTGTACTTTAGCATTGCTTTGCAAAGTACAATTTTTAATGGTTTTGTATACATACTTTTGCCTTGTGAGTTAGATAAACTGTTCTAAACGGTTTAACCCGAGTTGTTCTCTTGTGTGTTAACCAGTCTTGGTTAATCGGGTCACGGTTAGGGTTATACAGTGGTTAGAATCCCTGGTTCTTGAAACAGTTACGAGAACCGAGAAAATTTATATATTTGTATTGATTTGTAAATTTTCCATTTCTTAATTTGAAACCAGGTTCGAAATCAGCATAAACTTTAAAAAAATTATTTTTTGCCAAATGCTACACAAGACGTAAGCAGAGGTCGTCGAAAAGATAAATAATAAAAAGAATCGACATAAATAATGTTTTTCTGTAATTTAAAAATAGTTTTCCCAAAATAGAAAATTCATAAAAATCAGTTACTTTTAGAGCTATTCCAATGAATTTTCTTTTATCAAACCATACTCAAATCGATATAAAAATGTATTTATATACACAGAACCATAATCGAAGCAGAATGATATATCGGTTCTTCAGAACTAACTGAAATCGATATAACTGTAACAGTTATGCCATTTTCTAGGTTCTCCATAGCTCTTTTAACTCAGAACCAATATACAATAGTTCGAAATAGTCATTTTCGTAACCATTTTTGCATTTGCAGCTGTGTAATTAAAAACGTGATGTTGAATCCCATACATTTGAGTCTGTTTTGAGTACTCAAACCTCTCTACCTAATTACACTGAAAGACAAAGTATCGCTGGTTCGTTTAATATCAGGTCATCGCATAAGTTTGTGCCTTTCTTTCCTTTTAAACTGGCGAAGATAAAGTTTCATAGATCAAATTCACTAAAAAGTGAAGTAATAATGTAATTTTGTTGTTTTTCGTAATCTCATTCGTACTTACTTGTGCGGTTATGCGAGCTAGCACTCAAAAACGAGAAAACTGATTCCTTCAAGTGTCAACTAAGCATTGAATGTTATTTTTTGTGCAAGTATCATTACATACATGCAATAAAATTTTTATTACAATGTAGTAAGAAGAAAACTTGATTTGCGAAAAGGTTAATTTCGAAAAATTACCATCATCGTGTAATCATGGGTGTAAAATGATCAGTATCATTGAATGGACACAACGTGATAAAGACATTGTGACAACGTTAACCCACACGCGACAAAATATAAAAAAAAAAAGTTATGTATATTTTTTGGAGAAATTTTGTCACGTCCATCTTGTTGTGCGGATATTGCTTTGTACGATAGTCACTCATTTCGTGCATTACTCACAAATTTTGTAATACCCATTTTTCAATGGGTAATCAATTTGAAAATATCAAAGTATTAAAAAAAGAGTATTGAATAACATTTCAATGAAAGAGGAACGAGAAGGGGATTACAATTTTTCTCAAAATTCAATGGTACGTTTGAATTAATATTAAATTCTAATAATTTGGCACAAACTTATGGGGTGGTTATAGAACAGTGCTCGATCATCATTATTTCATCTAGCGTCGCTCACGCCGCCAAAAAGGACGAAAAAGGAGCAAAGGTTGGGGTCGGAGGGTGAACAGTTTCAAAGAGTTCTAATCGCGTATTAGTCTCGTTATCGTTAATCGTATACTCTTAATATTCGAACCATTTTCCTTTTAAACAACATTCCGCGCGTATTATATTATGTATATATTTATATGTATGCGTTTTCACTCATTGTTACTATTGTTCTGTAACCTTTTCACTGGACAACTCGATCTCGGTGTTCGAAATGACGAAACTCAGATTTCTCGTGCACCATAGTCGACACAAAAATTAACTGTCCGCTCGAGGTTACTGGTAAGCGCCATCCCCCACTCTGCCGACTCTCTAAATAGGCGTGGCGTAAAAGTAGGCGTTGCGTTTCAGCGGGCAATTAATTTTCCAACCGTGAGACGAACACTTGCGAAGAAAGTTCTTTCAATAATATTATTTAAAAATGCATATTTTACGAGTTCCATATCGTGGATACTTTTTGTTAAAGTAACTGTCTACAGAGCTTTTCAAATTAACCCTTTCGCAGATCAAGTTCTTCTAGAAATTTGTTTTCTTAATACTTCTACCGAACAGGTCTAAGAAAAACAAGAAGAAAAAACTAAAATTTATACGCTTGATAAAGGTCACCAAAAATTTCAGAAACTAAAATAAGTTATTTTGACCCCCAAATGATAAAATGACGTGAAATTAACGTAAAACACTTGTTCAACGATGAAAGTATTGATTGGTCGATTTTTGAGTGCTGGCTCGCTAATCAAAATCACAGAAAATTACAAAATGACGTTATGTTAGTGTTTTTTTTTTGCGTCGAGTTTGATTTGTGAAAGGGTGAGCTTGAAGAGCAACGCCTCATTGACTCTCTTTGAGTCTAAACGAACTTGGACGCAAGTGCCCGCAAGAGATCGTTTCGGTATGCCCGGCGAAAGGGTGACTTCATAAACAGCGATTAGGGTAACGTGGCGGAGGGGGATATTAGTTTTGCAAGTAGTCGATCGATCGATCGAGCCTCTCGAGCCGCGTCTCGAGCGAGAGAAGAGGAATTCAACGAATCGGTTCGTAAAACGCTACGGATCTACGATAATCACGAAGTGACGAGACACTCACTGCACTCGAAACTCTGCTTCGTCGTTTACCTATTGTATTGTACTATGATTTAAAACTATCTTCGTCGCGGAACGGGCGCCGTGTCGCGCGCGTTCCTCGATTAGGCTATCTTCGTGTACGCTTGTCGCCTCCCCGGCGGGGGAACGAACTCTCACCTCGCGAGGAAGAGGGTCGGAACAGATTGGCGGGGGCTCACGAAAAGCGAAATAAACGCCGTCGCGTTTGGAAATTAGCGCAAACGTTCGATGCTCGTCGATTCGAGCATGGTTCAAACTATTCCCTCGTTCAACCTGATTCGTCCTTTCTGCGCCCGGAGGATGGTGACCCGGGGTTCCTGGGGTTCGAACCGACTGGAGGAACAGGCTTTATCGACGACGAACGTTCACGCGAGTCCTCGCGACAAACCGGCGACGATCAGTTGCGAAACAAGCTACCGTCCACAAAGTATTGTCTGTGAAGCAGAGTCGAAATAATAGATCGCCGTTTCTTTCACCGCTAAAACGACAGACATTAAGTACGAACTGACGGGTGATCTATAAAAAAAGTAACGACAAACGTCACGGCGGTTACTGTTCCTAAAAAGGAAACGTCCAGAATAAAGGGGTTTCGAGGTTTTGGGTTGGGGGGGGGGGGCAGGGGGGCAAGGGGGGGGGGCGAAGATTACGCGATTAATCAAATAATAACAACGTAGCCGCTACGCTCTCGAGTCTTCCTATCGATTAGTATTATTAGTCCGCGATAACTCGATATGACAGGTTGCTAAGTTTGGCCGCTTCTAGGTTTTCTTAGGTATACTTCTCTACCGTCGCTATACGTTCGCTGCCCCCCGGGATCGTTGGTGGTTCAAGATGCGTCGCAAACGCGCCCGCCAGCTTTTTTCTATTTCATTTTATAAAACGTTAAAACGCCTTATCCTAATTTGCCCGTGAAACGAAGCGACGGTACATTCGACAAAGAGAACCCATTCTTCCGGGAACAAAACGCCTACGTTCGACGTTGTCACGCCCCCGGGGAAGAAAACTACGCGAACCCTAACGATTACAAAACGCACGCGGATCTTTGATTTTAACGGCAACGACCGGGTTTGCAGTTCATCTTGAACGAATATCCCGGTGGCGGTGAGATCAAGTGTATTCAAAATCCTTCAGTCCCCATCAGGGTCGAGAGTCGTACGGGCTATTCGAATACGTTATTGATCACTCTGAACTCTCTACGTTGTTCCTACTCGACAGAAGACTACTTTTCTTCCCTGAGGAGGTTCTCCTCGGCCTCCTTTCGCCTCGCTTTCGCTTCCTTCTTCGCTTTCTTCTTCTCCTCCTTGGCCAGTTTCTTGGCCTCCTTCTGTCTGGTCTTTTCCGCCTTCTCCTCCTCCTTCTGCCGTGCCTTCTCCGCCTTCTCCCGCTCCTTCTCCCTCTCCTTCTCCTTCTTTGATTTCTGGACCTCTTGGATCACCGACAACTTCGGCGCCGGCTGCGGCCTCTTCGTCGACGTCCTCGCTAACGTCGCGAGCGTCGTGGTGGCCCCGCTGCTCGAGCCTCTAGGACTCGGTGATGTCTCTAGTTGAGTTACGATTTTTTGAGCACATCTGCGGAGCAAAAATTGCGAATATACGTCGCAAAAGGATGGAGCAACGATTGCCAGTGGATGGTGTCAGTCAACGTTTCCCAACTTCGTTCCTTCAACGTATCTTGCTCGACTCGACAATTTTCGAATCCTCTATTTCATTTTTCAACCAACAGAGTCTTGAATCTTAACGTGAATCTACAATTCATTCGTCTTCGCTGTCGCAGTCGTTGCAATCATTTAAAAAAACTACATATACAGGGTGTTCAGTCACCCCTGGGAAAAATTTTATTGGGAGATTCTAAAATCAATAATATCAATTTGTTGATCGAGGTTTCGTTCTTTTTCCAAAGAAATTTTTTGTAGTACAAATTAAACAATTCCTAAAGCATTTCGAGATGCACTTCAAAACACTACAATCTTGAGCTTTCTCTTGTTGCAATCACTCTCGTTATCACTTGGGTCATAGACACGATCAATCACAGTTTATGCTTATCTGTAGGTACGAATGCTATTAATAGTATGTCTATCGACCAAACAGCGACGGTTATTCGGTTTTTATGCGTTTTTAGAGTCGCTCTAGAATATAGAGGGTTAACTAGAACTAAGTCATTTTTAATATCACGTTGCTCAAGAAACATAATTTCGAGTTAAAAACTTTATGAGATGTCTTTCGACACTTTCGGGTAGGAGTAGTGTAAATAAAATTAATCCTTATCCTTAAAAAACCTCAGTGATTGTATTCGATCTACAGTGTTAAATATGGATCACTATCCTCTGGTGTGTTGAAACACCCCTCACTGCTTAGGTTCGTAGTCGTTTTAGAGCTCCCCTGAAAGACTGTAGCGCCTCCCAGAGGGTTATTACCGTTCATGTTGGGAAACGCTGGTGTAAATGTTTCGGTTAGGCTTGGAGTAGGTGCAGTGGGTATGTTAGGGTTTAAGTAGCCGAGATATGCCAAGTCTGAGTTAATTAAACCGGCCGCCGAATCATGATATGCACGCCAACTCTGCCAGATAGGTCAGATATATTAGGTGTTGATTAGATTTGGATTAAGTGATTCCAGACTTCGATTGATTAGAGTGGGATCGGTTCCTTGGATGTTGCTTGGGTTAGGCTGATGCTAGATTCGCTTTACGTGTTTTTGGTCTGTAATAGAGAATATCTTGATATGCCTCCAAGTGATAGTCCTCTGAATGTATCGTTCTCCAGGTATGAAATATATAAAAACGTCCACGTATTACCGTATCCTAGTGGAGGCTTTCCCTGCGCGATAGTCCCTCTGGAACTCCTTGATCGGTGGCAATCTACGTTCCCGGTTTTCTCTCATCACTTCCTCCTCCTCGGTGACTTGCTGAACGGGATCCTGATACTCCTAGTACGTATCCGTAAAGTACACAAGGTTAGTGAATTTTGGTGTGCTGCAATTCTCACTTTCAAGCGACTAAGTTGGACAAAATCGAAACAGGTTGCTCTGAAGCAATTCCAACGAGATGACACCTCGATTGTACCGCTTTTTTAACGATCTTTTGTAAAATAATGGGATGTTTAATAATATGGTTTTATAGTTGCTCAGACGACACTGATCGGCGTAGCAAGCTATTAAAACTGTGATTATACAAAGTGTCCCACTATCTGTATACAAATAAAAGTATATTTTTTATCACCGTACGAAAGATCGTTAAAATCGAAGCGTAACTTGGAGTCTTCCTCTTTCAAGCATCGATTCTTCTATTGTTCGGTGTGATTGAGCTCAATTTGGTGCAGTAAGAGATTGTCGATCGAAAGTAAGGATTGCTATAGTTACTAATAAGCGTTGTTTAACTATATCCAACGGACCTGAATCCTCATTTTCATGGATTGCGTCTGCGAACGTCTCAAGATCGCGCTACAAGGCTGCCTCACTCTTGTAGATTTCCCAAGGTTGGAACTTCCTGTGCTACTTGCAGAAGACGAACTCGAAGAAGATACGGAAGACACTCCTGCACCAATAAAGACGAGGCAACTTCAGGCTGGTTAATCTTTGTATTCATGTTTCATCGGTTAGGGCACATAACGACTGGTCAACAAATTGTTAACAATTGTTTGCATTCTTTACGATTAAGCTATCTTTCTATTCATGTACACTAGGAAAGAAAATATTTTTTTAGCTCTGGTTTGAAAACATAATGCATGGTTTATTTGGTTCAAGCCCGGTAGATTAAAGTATACGTATATTAATATGAAATGACATTAAACTAATGAAATTACAATGGATTTTTATGTCTATGTTGATCCATCACAGATTATAATGGAACTGAAAATAGTATGTTTCCATATTAAGTCTACTTAGCGTTTATATTTCAAGAATAGTCTGCTGAAATTGCAAATCAGGTAAAAGGCTAACGGATATAAAATGTAAAACCCGGAAAGAATGACCTATTTTTATGCATTTTAATTTAACTTTCATCTCTGTACTTCGAGTCGTATAACAAGAACTTGAATCGATCGCTTAGATGAAGAATAAATATTTGTCGTTGACCAGTCTAATTAACAGACACACAGTAAGCAACACTTTCTTTAATTTAAGATAAATATTAATTTCTAAAATTAGGTTTACTGTTACTTTAGACAAGTTAACTTATCAATTTTCTCTTTTGAAAAATAATAGAAATTTCGTTAAAATATTCTTGCAATTTTCGATACGTATGAACAACGTCGTTCAAAAAATATAGATTTTGCAATGTTTTCCCTAATTTTTTGACAATTCTTGAGAACTGACAAGGTCCTACCAAACACAATGATATTCGATATTCCGTAACTCCGTTATTTTACAACTTTAAGTGCTAAAACTTGGTGAACATATAGTTCAAGTACTGTTTAATATGTGATAAAAGAAAAATATCCTTTTTCTATTTAATAATTTGCCCAGGAAGAAATTTTAAATGAAAAATGAATACTTCGGGACCACTCGAAATTTTGTTGGTTTAACTTGTGGTGCTTGGAATTACAGGACGTATGGTTAAGTAATTTCTACATGACAGATTTATACATGGAGTGTACGAACCAGAAATAGAGGACGAGCCGCTGGCCATAGAGTACAGCGATGCAGAGGCTGGTACGTTTCCAGGAACCCATCTGCCACCAGGACCAGACACCCCTACGGGCACCCCGGTGCCCATGTTGTACTCCGATGCACTCTGAGGCAGCACCCAGGACTTCCCTGACATCGAGTACTATGAAAAGAAATAAATCATAATTTATTATATCGGTACCAAAAAACCTTAAAAAATGATTCGTTGCTTTTTCATTGTTTTTCGAAAGGCTACGTTCAACCCCTAAAGTACCAGGGGCCAACGAGCTCCAAAATATTTATATTTATTATACACAGTGATCTTTAGGTTCCAGAATAAAGAAATTCGAAACCAAACGCTCCTCGAATTTTCCCTAAAATATTATACAGTGTTTCAGATTGAATCATTTTTTATGATTGTTACTATTTATATTAATTCATACGTGAACTCCTTTCATTTATGACAAGTAATAAGTTCACTGAATACTTCTCAACAAATATAATAATAATGATATTCTTCTTTAGCACTAAATTGAAGTTCGATTATGAAAACAGAGATAAACGTATGTCTCTAGTGCATAGACTGCCAAAATACTTCTCGGAGTTAGTTTTTCTTTTCATTACAGAATATAAGTATATATCTAAATACTGATCTGTGGTCCAAATTACTATTATGAAAATATTGTTTTGTAATTAGCCATTCTAAATTGTTCTTAAATTTTTCTGTTCGAAACAATGACCACGTTTTCGATTTACGAAGGTTTCTTAAATGGTCCAATATAGGAAATTAATTCCTTGATATTTTAATATACTTCCAGAGAGTTTGTTTTATGTTTATTCGTACCTCGAATCCGGCTATTTAAATCAGAAATGCTCCCGTGGAAGAATAATAATTACGAAACAACATCGGTGGGAATAAATGACAATGGGGTCCGCCGCGAGCTCCAATATAGTATTAACGAACGAACAAAAAAAACTGTTGGTACTCTAAGGTTGAAGCATCGCCAAAGCACTCGGGGCTTTTATCGGGGCAAATTCGAGCGGGTCTGAACGGATCATTTACGGGTCGTTTCTCGTCCGTACAGCGGAAATTTCGCAAGATTAATCGCGAATGAATGGGAAAAAGAGCGTGGCGCGCATTCATGGCGGACGGTATTTATGAATACTGCTTCGAACGGAATGGTCATACGTCGCGCGACGTGGCATTCAGGTTCGCTGAAAGGCGACGAGGACTTTCCGAGTCCGCTCCAATTACTCGCAATTTTACGCCAACGGAATCAAATGAGCGAACGCGAACGCCACGTTGCCGTGGACGCGTTTCTGGACCTCGATTTCAAAACGTAAATAAAATTCTCGGATACTGAAGGGTGGCCAAACTAATGGCCTAGATCCCGGTTGGCTAAAAATTTCAAGGATGCACGAAGTTTCAGGGTCGTCGTCGAATCGAATATTTTTTTTAAATAACGTATTACGCCTCACTGTAATTTCGTTATTTAATTTTTATTTAAAATCGTCAAAAGACTTGGTTAATCGAAAGCAATGATTCTTGGAACCATTTTGGCAGTCTAATGGAGCTTATTGGACTCTTTTATGTAATATTTCTATAGCGAATATTTTTTTAAGCAACGTATTGCGTCTCACTGTAATTTCGTTATTTAATTTTTATTTAAAATCGTCAAAAGACTTGGTTAATCGAAAGCAATGATTCTTGGAACCATTTTGGCAGTCTAATGGAGCTTATTGGACTCTTTTATGTAATATTTCTATAGCGAATATTTTTTTTAAGCAACGTATTGCGTCTCACTGTAATTTCGTTATTTAATTTTTATTTAAAATCGTCAAAAGACTTGGTTAATCGAAAGCAATGATTCTTGGAACCATTTTGGCAGTCTAATGGAGCTTATTGGACTCTTTTATGTAATATTTCTATAGCGAATATTTTTTTTAAGCAACGTATTGCGTCTCACTGCAATTTCGTTATTTAATTTTTATTTAAAATCCTTGAAGGACTTGGTTAATCGAAAGCAGTGATTCTTGGAACCATTTTAGCAGTCTAATGGAGCTTGTGGGCCCCTTTTATGTAATATTTCTATAACGTTCTCAAATATTAGTTAAATGGCACATTTTTCGTTCTGAGGTGAACGAGTTTATTCTTGGCTAGGTCGTGGAAATTGACTGGGGTGGTTAATTCCGGAAAAACAATTATTTACGAAGAAATGCTGGAACAGTAATTACGAAAACATTGTGTATACAAATTTAAATTCATTTTCTATTATATAAATAATTTATAATCCAGTTTTATCGTACAACATGTATAATCAATAGGAATTGCTGAAACTTCTTTAGATATATAGCTTCAAAGTAAATATACAGCATGAACTATAACAGTAGTTACATTCATCGGTTAGGGGATGAAGAGCCCTTTAAAATGAGGGTTCATTCAAGTCGATAGCGTAATTAGTTCCGGAGATATAAGGGTTCGAAGCGTTTGTTTACTTTCTATTGTTGACGTCGCGAGGTCAATGAACTTTCACTATGGCCTTAGCGAGGTCGTTGATCGTACGTGCTCGTAATAAATAGTGAATTCTTGGAAATACTACTACTTTCTAGTCACGAATGTCAGAGATAGTTGAATTTCTAAAAACTACCCCTTCATTTAAATTACGATATCTTCAAAATCATTTTAAAGGAGAGGCCTTTGCTTCTTCTAACGTTTCCTATTTACATCGAAAGCTAACTAGAATTCCATAACAAATTTTGTTGACCGGTCGTGGTATATATAGTGTTAATTTCCATCAAAATTAATTATCGATATTTCGGTATGTTCCATTGTTAATTAACCGTATACTAAAATAACAGACTAAAATACAGGGGAAGATTTGTCAAACAGACGGTATTCAGAATCAGAATACTGGAATAATACCGGTATTTATTTCGGTTTTCGGGATAACTTCGCTGGCATAATACCAGCATGAAAATCACACCGGTGTTAAATCCCTACTCGGAATGTCTCTCGACGAGCACGAAAAGTGGTACGACGGATATACAGTCGACACGGATGTTAAAATACGAACGTGCATAATTATTTGCGCTACTTACGTCCCGTGGGATTAGGGTCTGCTTCAGACGCAGGATCTTCGCTCTGCATATGACGCATCTCAGTGGTAGCAGCCTCTGCGAGACAGCCATTTGTATCGTTTTGACGAAACAGCGTCTGCAGCACACCGAGAACAAAGGCACGATTAGCTAAAATAGCATTAACTGTCTCACTTCCAAACCACACACGTGACTCTGAAAATCCTTGGAGTCGAGTCTACACTTATTGTCTCGTTTCCCAAACTGCCATCGCGAAGATGGGCAAAATTCTATTCGAAAGAGAAACAACTGATAAAACGTATAGCGTATAACGTTTAATGAAACAGCTAAGTTTCTATCTGTTCGTTAACGATTCAATTAAAATCTATAATTAATATACACCTGGAATTCCTTTTACACGATTCCAAAGTTGCAGTGTTCCCATTATTTAATACGTTTCATTTACATTCACACGTTTGCATATCTTTACACTTTTGGAAAAACGTACTTTTAATGGAAATTTTAATGCATATTTATTGATAATCAAAGTAGATTTTAAGTGTGAAAGTAATTACTATTAGCATCTACAGGGTGTCTTATCTAAGTGAGTACAGCAGGATATCTCGAATGGAGTTGTAATTATTAAAAAAATGTTCATACAAATGTTGTTTACATCACGTAGTAGTAATTGTCTTTTTGTGGCAAGAAGGAACATCGAACACAATGTGATTATTTTGTCTATTTTACCTGCAGACCACTCGATGCCCACACGGAGCCGTCTGCATCGTGGCTCTGGCGTTCACGCAGATCACGCACTGCAAGAACAAAAAGAACGATAATTGAAAACCCAACCCCGTACGAATGCAGCTAACTACGTTAACCGCGTTAACTCGATCTTACGAGCTAGCATTCGAGATTAATTCCCCAAAAGGTCAAAGATAAAACCTGATGAACCTTCTTTGGGGAGTTTCTGGTTATCCGGCAGAAATTTTCGGGGAGTTAAATGGACAGCTTTCGGGCGCTTGGGTCTCGTCAAAGGGAGCGCTCTTCGAAAGAGGATAGTGTACTTAACCCAAATAAGGTACGGAATTTTCGAATGGAATTCTCAAAGGAACCCTGCGAAAATAATTTCGTTCCTTTACACCGGAATGGGAAAGATTCACGCTGTGTTTTTGTTGCAAAGAGACATTTATTTCGTCATTCTGACAAACTACAAACAAAGGAGTCGTTTACAAGTACATTGTCGGATTGAAGGGGCGTAAAATAGCTGGTGGATGTAGTTTAGGCTTCCGTTTATCCCATGTGGTGACCTCCACCTGAAGAGAAACGTATCAGTTTTTTAGATTCTGTGTTAGATGAGTTCAGAAGAATTTCGAAGCATCGTGTTCACCTCCTCCCATCGGGTTGGGCAGGTTATCATCCATGTTCTTGTCGCGACCGTTACCACCCTGTCCTCCCTGTCCGTCCTGATGATCTAATAAACGATCGTGCGCGGATCTTTTCATCCTTCCCATGGATGACATCATCGCTTCACCTGCGCTTGCAAGTTGAGCCATGTTACTAGGAGGCATACACGGAGGAGCTCCGTCTGGAGGAGGTCCACGTGGTGGTTCTCCATTTGGCGGGGGAGGACATGGAGGCAGATCCTGTGGACTGCGTTTTCCCCGGACAGCCAACACCTGGGGGGTGGGGGCTTCCGTCGAAACTTCACCGGCCGAAATTTCGGTAACCTCCAATCAACATTTATCCATTTTAATCAACCTCATCACTAAACTGCGGATCTTTATGCAAATTCATGTTTTTATTAATAGAATTAATTAAATAGGAGCTTTGAAGAGGGTTGTCTCAGCTCCTAAATATAATTCATATCCTATTTAAGATATTTATTATATTTTTGCATATTGAGTGCATTTTGTAGTTTCTTGAGAATTAAAATTTCCTATAAATGCATAAACATCCGCAGTCTACTCATCACCTTCAATTTTAAACAGTACAATGAAGCTAAACACCTAAACAGCTAACAGATCTTTTAAGGAATTACGTTCCAGAGCTTGAAAAGAATTATAATATAGATTTCGGTTCTTGTAACAATTATGAAGAACTTTTATTCCGAATAACTGTTATAAAGAATACTGTAACCATTAGTTTTTAAATTTTACAAAAGTTTCAAATCTATTAATGTGAATGTCTGCTGTTCTTAATGAGTCAGATCAAATGTTGATTATCTTTTCGAGATATTTATTACTATAGAGATTCGAAACTATTTCAGAACGAATATAGCAACCATACACGCCAGAACATTCGATGATTCGTCGAGTACTTGTGAGAAAGTGGTCCCTCTATTGGCGAGTGTGGGAGGTATCGCTACAAAGAGCCTATATAACCCACACAAACCGATACAATTCGACTTTTACGTTCTTTACAACAATTTCGATTACAGCTTTTATACAGGGTGTTCCAGTAACGAAAAAGTAAACCGAAAATGAAGAATAAGACATTTTCTTTGTAGTTGCTTTGGTATGTCTGTCCACTATCCACTGTTTCTACTTATAAAAAGTCCAAGTCGTACTCTATTGCTTACATTTACAATGGAATTTTCAATTTTTTTAAAAACAAAGCCTCAAACGAGCAAACTATTTATTTTCAGCCCCCTCTTGGTTGTACCATCGATACTGAAACCCCCAGTACGAAACAATTATTTTCCTAGCCTTTTCAAGCTCTGATTACGCCACAGAAAAGATGTAAAAAAAAGAAAATAATTAATAATATTGTGAAATTATAAAAATATTATATAATCTTACTTCGAGCCCCCCAATTGGATTATTGTAAAGAAAATAAGGAACACCATTGACAGCAGTTACTAACGAGAAAAGAAGTAAAATTCTTAATGAAAATGGCCACCTTGCAAGCAAGGTTATTTCGGAATCTTTTGTCAGGATGTTCCTCAGACAACGAAAATTCGTGTAAAGAGTGTTGCAGGTCACGTTCTCCACCTCGAAGCACAGTTTATAATCAAACGGATTGAAATCTGGGCTACCAAAAGGTCAATCTTTAGCTGAAATGAACTCTGAGACATTAGCCGCGCTTCGGTTGTTTTTGCTTTGTAAGCCGAGGCAAAATCTTGGCGGAAAAGTAACCTTTGCCTTTGGAAGTGTCACACTCAAGGGTTTTACCACTCCTCTCACCTTTTTGACTAGACCTTGTCCCGAGCTTTAACGCCCTTCTCTCAGAAATAAATCCGCGTTACGGCTTAATGGGCCACTTACCATTAAATTATTAACTTTGTATGGAGCCTCGCTCGAATTCATTCATGGACGATTACAAATTATGCTCAAAATCACTAAAATTCAGAATCTCAGATAATTCACTATGCAATGAATCTTTCTCAAAAATGGTGACTATGTATATACTTTCTTTATTTCTCTGGCAAAATATCCATACTACTATGGTTTCAATTTTTATTATAATTTTACGTGTTACTATTATCTAGATTTATTTTTTATTGTATGACACTTTTTATTAATATTTCCAGGACATTTCCAGGCCATAGGAAACTAGTATACCACTTAAAGTTTTAAAAAACTTGATTACAATTTTTACAGTTATAAAACACTACAATAACACTTAAATATTTGAATTAACTACGTTAAATATTTAAATTCAGTTCGAGAATGTAGACTCAAATGGTTCATAATGCCGACCAATTCTTTCTCAGGATGAGACATAGCTGTTGCTAGCTACTCCAACCGATTGTTTTTTGTGCACATGATAATGGTTCTTGCTCCTTTACAATAATCCAATGGTTGTGAAAAAGAGTTGAATAAATATAAACGATGGTAATATTTTGAATTTGGAACTGGATGTATGAATGTAGCTTACAGAGAACACCAGCAAGGTGGCGATGCCAGCGAGTAGGATAAAACGCTTCATGATCCTTGATGTCTTGGTACTCGATACTGTTCTCCGTGATTCCGGATCGAGGGAATAAATAGCAAACAGTGGATGCACCACGTCATCGTAGAGAAAAAAGGTAGGAGAAGCAAAAAGCGTCAGATGAACGTTGCACGGCACATCGCACGCGAAAGGAACTTGCTGGAGAGAAAATCATCTCTGTCGTCATTATCGGCTCCCCCGATTACCGGCCATTGTTCTACGCCCACGATATGTTATTTCCCTTCTTGTTTTATTTTTTTCTTCCTATTCTGTCACGAACAGCAACGGAAACGACGAACGAGGCGGCATGAAAGCATTGTTTACAGGTACGGAAGAAAATTACCGCGCCTGGTCCCGAGATTCACGACGTTTATCTCTGATTGGCCTCAATGTTATCGTTGCTACTCCTAATTTCAGTTTAATAATTGCGATGCTTATCGACCCCGGAAAACAATTTACTTCGCGACAACAATATTTAAACATTGTCTTGGGAACCTGGAATTACGCAATCGAAGGTGACGTCGGATCTTTGATTACTTCGCGTGGTTTTAATTTCCTCTTCATCGACAGAAGTCACTTCGTACGAAGAACTTGACGCGTTCACGTATTTGTCAATTTTTATGAGAAAAATAAATTTAATTTACCCGAACTACGCTTTTATGTCTCTCGTGCTTATTTAGTTATGTCTGATTGAATACGTTCGATTTTCAGTCCATTTATTAATTATATGTTTCATGGAATTCAGTGTCCATTTTGGACTATTTTACAGAGTCCTGTTTTTAAACAATTAGCTGCTACTAGAGAATTTTAATTATTAATTTTTCAATTGACTATATATCAGTTAAAACAATTGAATATTATTTTATTATTTAATTATAATTTGATATTTAAATGTTTATATTCGTATAAACAAATGAACTAAAAACTTCTGACTATAATCAAAATATTCAGTTGGTCTGTTAAATATATTTTACTACAAATACAGCAGTCGTTGAAAAATATTGAGAAACTTCGTGAAGTGATTCAACTGTTCGTCGATGTGAAGTTTGCGTCCAAGCAGAACGTTTTGAAATTTTAAAAATAATTTAAGATTTTAAAAATAATACGACATGGAATATAGTTTGCAAAAATAATAACACGCGTTGATTAATTTCCTGAGTACTGTGGCATACGTGAAATCGAAAAAATATTGAATATGGGCACTTACCAGGTGTTCCTTGTCAACAATATCACCTTTTCGAACGAGTCATTATTTAACATAATGCAAACGAACCTGATAATCTAATCGTTGTCATTTTTTAGTAATGCAATTGAGTGGAAATGGCAAAGAATCGTCGAATTCATAAGTTTTGGTCATTTAGGGAGTAATGGTTGAAAATATCACCATTATTAGAAGATATACAAACTAATCAAAACTGAAAAAACAGTGATAGACACCTCAAGCGTTTGACACGTTAATTGCTATGCCTGCTATGTATTTAGGGATTTTCTTGACATTTTTTCAAACTTTAATGCGGACAACAGAAATATTCAACAATTCTTCGGTGTATTTGCAACTTTAACACGATTAAAGTGCTTGAAGATATGATATGAAGTTATAATTGCCATACAACACACATGTTTTCAACATAAAATTGTACAAATCATTGAAAATCATTCGATGAATTTATCAATCATACAGGGTGTTCGGCCACCTCTAGCAAAAATTTTAATGAGCGATAGTAGATGCCAAAATAAGACGAAAATCAAGAATACTAATTTGTTGATGGAAGCTTCGTTAAAAAGTTATTAACAATTAAATTCAAAAATTTCAAATCGTTCTGGAAAAATTATTTTCGGTTGCGGGGGTCAACTACAATCATTTTTGGTGAGTACACATACCTCCGAAATCCTATCTACTTTCGAGAAAAAAAATCGAGTAGATGCTGAAATTTTTCGGCGAAAAAAAAATTTTTCAAATCGTTTTAAAAAAATTATTTTCGTTTGCGGGGATCAATTACAATCATTTTTTATCATTACACATACCTCCGAAATCGTACGCACTTTCGAGAAAAAAATTCCTTACTGAAAATCCAATTAGGTGCCTAAAGTCAACGGAGAAAAAAAATTGCAAATCGTTGTGGAAAAATTATTTTCGGTTGCGGGGGTCAATTACAATCAGTTTTTGTCATTAGACATACCCACGAAATCCTGCCCACTTTTGAGAAAAAAAATAGAGAAGGTGTGAAATTATTCGAGAAAATTAAAAAATTGCAAATCGTTGTGGAAAAATTATTTTCGGTTGTAGGGTTCAATTACAGTCATTTTTGGTGAATAGACATACCCCCGAAATCTTGCGCATTTTCGAGAAAAAAATTCAGTAAGAGCGGCACTTTAAACGTTAATAACTTTTTAACGAAGCTTCCACCAACGAATTAGTATTCTTGATTTTCGTCTTATTTTGGCCTCTACTATCGCTCATTAAAATTTTTGCTAGAGGTGGCCGAACACCCTGTATAGCTTCTAATTCGAAGCAATTTCAATTTCTGGTGTTTTAAATTTACTAGTTTACAACAATTTTATTTTATCCTCGAGTGAAACGTGAAAGATTGCAATTTATAAAGCAATTCTAAAAAATTTACAGCCTTTCGATGTGGTTGGAAATATTTACAATTAACAATTTCGAAATGTTTCCCTCGCTAATTTATACGGTAGTGGAAAACCAAACTAACGAAGCAAAATTTTATTATTCCAAAAGCAAATATTGAAATTATTCAATTTATATGAAAGCCTCGTGTTACGGATGTTTCTTCCAGCGATGTTGAATAAATAAAAATCCACAGCACATGGATTGCCCTCCAAGAATGGACGGTCGGTACAAGTGGCGACGAGCTGAAGCTCTTGGAAGCGACAAAGAAATGGAGTCACGAACCGTCAATCAAGGGAAAAGTTCAAGAGGTATTGTACCTTCTTACGGAGGCTTAACTGATGAAGAATTGTTAGAGAGGTGTTCGGGACGCCATATACAAAATTCCAACGAAATCTTCAAGACTGCAGTATGGCAAGTTGCCCGGAAACATCATTTTCCTATATCGAAGCCCTTTGATTCCCACATTTTCTTAATAAATAAATAGAAGTGCACTCAATTCTTTTTTTATGCATAATTTCTTTGTGATTAATTCCTCGATGCCCAAAGTTTTTTTATTAGTTACCTAACACCGTCAGAATTCTTATAAAAAAATTACAATGAAAGACGTTTTCGAATTTTGGAAATAATGGCTTTAAAATCGCTATTCCAAAAGTGCTCTTTTTTCATAAAAAAAAGTACGATTGTATATAATATTTTCTAAGAAAGTTATTATATGGGAGGATTTCCTCGAACAAAATATTTTATTAAGTTTGAAATATACGAAAAGAAGATAATATTGTTCGTTAAAAATACATTCACGTTTGTAACAAATAAAATTACTGACTAATAGAAAATTACTGGCTAAATAAAAGTAATCGACTGTTTTTATTAATTATATCGATGCTGTATGAAAAAGATGGAAAATAATTCCGAGTGAAATTAATTTACAAATTCATTTCAGTTTGGTATCCACTGCGATAAATTATTACCTGCAAATATTAACTCGATCGTTAATATAATATAATATTTACAATTACGGGCCCCTCAATTCTCAACGTAATATAATAATTCACGTATTGTCAAATCGATCAATTTAACGATGATTGAATTCAGGGGAATTTGATACCCGAACGACACAATAATCTATGAGTAACTGAAGAAATACTGGTCCAGTTTTAAATTAACGTTGTGTCTTTGGAAATTTTCGAGCAAAAGCATCCTCTGTAATAGTCAAAGGATTCGGCGGTGATAAAAATAGCCGCGTTAGTTGGCTCGTGGCGAGCGCCATTACGGTTATTAAAGCTCGTAGAAGTTGATGACGTAAACCGGAAGTTTCCCCGTGGTTTTCAAGCATTGGCGAGCATCGAGAGTGTCGCGTGTGTTCGGCGATGAACGTTGCTTGCACGGATCTCGGCGATCGTAATTGACATAACCGAATTAAGCGTCGACTTGATCGAAATATTAATAGTTTGCCGAGGGTGGACAAACACGTCAGGAGTCGCAGGGTCGACAGCTACTGCTTTGTCAGCTCCGTTAATCGACTTTTGCAACCCGTTGAGCGGCCTATTCGCTCGGAAATTGCAACTTTCCCAGACCAATGGCTGTCTTTCGAGCAGCACAGAGGCCTTTCCGCACCAGCATTCGATAGAAGCGACAAAAATTTCGCTTGCACCCACCGTGTCCCTAATTTCGCCGATGTATTAATACAACGAAAAGCTTTCTGGGTCAGTGTATCTTACGGCTCTTCCATTTTTTCCTAAATTCGTTATGGAAATGCTCCCCAAAGCGAATTAATAGCATTTGCATCGCTCGAGTCCTTTGTGCAAATCTTTTTTATCGAGATTCGAGCCAAGTACGAGGGTTGATCGACGACCGGAACCTCCAACGACGCCATTACGCGAGCGAAATTAACGTATAAATATGTACGTTTCGAGCACAATGAATATATTTCACTTTGAGATCGGTTTTATTCGTTCCTCTTGTATCAACCATATTTTATAGGATTGGAGATCTCAAACGAAATAAATCATTCTTACAGTTTCTTAGAGAAAGTTAAATACAATGAGAAGTAATACCATTTTTTCGAACCGTTGTATCACGAATGTAGGAACATTTTTTATGTAAATTGCGTGCACTTGTGTCTTTGATATCGTATGCTGCATCGCTATGAAAATCAGAGACGTTCACAGGATCATCTAAAATAAACAAAGGCTGAAAGAAGTGTTTCATTTTATATGAATGGCTTCCATTTCCTTTTGTGGATATTTTTCTACGTGAAAAACATTTTTACAAAATATAATTAACAGCAGTGAAATGGAATTCATATTTTACAGATTTATGTAATATTTAAACCGAATTCTGAATATATTATTCGAGTATTCGTATTAATTTCCTTTCTATAATTTCTATTCAATTTCATTAATATTTCGAAACATTTTCTGGAATATCAACTTATCTGATATTGAATTATGTGCCCAGTATGTGATTATTTAAAATTGAGATTCCTTTCTCGAGTAAATTTGTTACGGACTTTCTAAGTAACTGTTTTTTTGTTTTAATGCGGTTCGTAATCATGTTTTGAGCGGATTTAGAAAATGTTATTTAATGGAAACAGGTGGTTTCTCAAAAAGGAAGTCAATTACGGCAAGCGCAAATTGCGTCTAAGGATTACTGAACAAGCATCGCTGAAGAGTTCTCCAGTAATCTAGCACGAAACGCACTTTTTTGGGAAACCACCTGTTTCCATTAAATAACGTCTCTTAAGTATTCTTAAAGCATGATTATGCGACACGTTCAACCAAGCAAATTATTACGTAGCAATAATTAATTTCAGTAACAAAAACTGTACTAATCTTTTAATATTATTTTCTTTGTATAATTCTCTATAACAAAGGCTGCAAATAATTTTCAAAGCCTAAATAAATTAATTCTTTAAATATCCTAAATATGCAAGTTTAATTTTTATATTTACAGAGAATCCAAAAACTTGTTGGAGAAAAAATTGAATTAATGTCAGCTCTCTTAACAATCACAAAATAATTATCTCTTGTCTCAACACTTATGCAATTATAATTACACTCATTGTTGTACTCTGCCAATAATTAATGTAATTTTTGTGACATTGTACTCGTACATCGTACAGAACGAAATGTACGTAATTATTATTATTCCAGATTTAAATTAATTTTGTTGAAGGAACTATGAACGTCAAATAATAATAATTAGTACAGCTATTTCGAGTCGTTGGTAAATGTCAACTTTTGCACACCATATTTTTAAAACTTTCCAGGTAGAGTTCCACACACGATGAAACCGCAATTACAGTTTCAATAATTCACACATTTGGATTGATTTGAACACAGATCCAGGAAAACGTTTTCACATCCAACTTATTTCGAGCGTTCAGGACTTGTTTTTGCTATCAAATCTGTGAAGTTTGAAATAAGATGGCGAAGGAATGAAAATATGGTGGAAATTAAAATGCATTTAGGCGGATCGGTAATAAGGCTCGTTCTCAATCCGTAGAACGGAATTGATTCGTCGAAATTGTTCACTGACGTCAAGGGGGGAGACGATTTCTTTTATTCCGGCCTTTTTAGCCTTCTACTCGAGGGGAAATGAGAAAATCTGATTCTCCCGTCAATCATTGGCCCCCGTTCCCGGGCGAAATTACGAATTAGGCTTGATTACGCCTTGTCCCTCGTAGCCAGGGAGAAAGTAACAAGGTTACCTCGAGAAACCTTGAAGAGAAAAGTGGAGACGGGCACAGCAGAAAATGCAGCTGACCTTACCCACCGAGAGCATGCTTTAGGATAACTCAGAAACTCCCCTATAGGGTCTTCCTGGGGTGTTAATTGGATCAAAGGCTACTCGAACTTCCCACAGGAAATTTCTTTCGTTCGATGGGAGGATTAAGTGAAATATCGTGGCTGTTCCTCGAACGCGAATACTTGATTTTAGGGTTACTTGACCAAGCAATTTATTTATCGCTGATTACTTACGAGGGTCGAAATCACTATGGCCATTTACTCACCTCGTCTTCCTGCGAGGAGGCCAACTCTGGCTCGTTCTCCTCCAACTTCGTTAAAAGTTTATCCTGCAACAAAAGGATAGTCATCGTTTATTCAAATTGAAATGTAAATGTTATTGCTTCGATTTAAATATCAATCTACTCGTGACAATTCTTGTTAAATTCTTAGGTAATTTAGACGTATAACATTATTAATCCCTGGGAAAAATTTTAATGGAGGATTCTAGAGGACAAAATAAGACGAAAATCAAGGATAACAATTTGTTGATCGAGGCTACGTTAAAAAGTTATTAACGTTTAAAGTTCCGCCTGTAGAACAGCAACGCGTGACAGTGGTTCTCATTCAAAGAACGATGAGGCTGTCGATGAGTCAGTGAGTATAGTTTTTTATGCTGAGTGAGAACCACTATCTATCTACAGGTGGAACTTTAAACATTAATAACTCTTTAACGAGGTCTCAATCAACAAATTGGCATTCTTGATTTTCGTCTTATTTTGGCCTCCAGAATCTTCCACTAAAATTTTTTCCCAGGTGTAGCCGAACACTCTGTATATAGGATATCTGAATCGAATCACACTTTTTTAGGATTTTAATCTGTTAACTCAAAATCTATCAATGTTGATTACTACTATTTTGTTAGTATTAAGCAATTATAAATAACATTAGATAATAATGAACATTTCTATCTGAAATATTTTTCTAATTACCTAAAATTAATACTAAATTATAGACACAAACAATCATACAAGAATTTATGACAAGCTTTCATAAGAAAAACTAGAAACTTACAATATAACAAATAGAAAGTTAACTCAAATAACTATAGAATATATGACTCAAAATAGTTGTCAAGTTTAATTTAAATTGCACAAGACGTTGAAGAAATACAAATTATGAAAGTTAATAGTAAAAATTAAACAGCTGTCTCATTAGATCGCCATTTTTATATTATTTCTATAAAATTGTACCATTATAATAGAATTTCGGTGTTTCTGCTCCTGTTTAATAAAACACTAAATTTCAAGTATTGTACCGATAACTTCAAAAAACCAAAGTTGAAAATGTTCTGTGATAAAGTAATTGAATTGTCTAATTTTTCAAGAAACCGTTACTCCGAAGCAAGGATTAATTTTCATCGGAATTCTATTGATTTTTTCTTCGAGACAGACAAGTTGAAGGCCTGATCGTTTTCGTGGAAGGTTGAATCATAATGATATAATGCTTCAACAATAGTTCCCAGCGCTATTCTTGCACCCGTGCATACTAGGAATACGATCGATATATTATTTCGTTCCAGTGTCCCTTGTTTTTCGCATTTCATGAGGCTCTTTTTACCGTCCCGCGTCACGCGATCTTAAAAGTTGGTAAACAAAAACCGTCCCTCCCGTCTGCCAAACAAATGGAAACTAAGTTCCACAACCACTTCCGGGCCCCTGGATTCGATATTCCGTTGACTTCGGTCTTCGGGGGTTTCATGAAATTCAAAGCGAACCGCTACATCCACGAAACGTCACCAAGTCGCACAAAGAACATCCGCGACAGTCACCCCCTCACCCTCGCCGATTTTAATAAAACTTTTCAGGTTTTTAGAGCAACCAAAAATAAGGGATACTTATCGTGTGGCCGGGTCAACTTAAATTTCAGGGGTAAAATATAAAATAAATTTAACTGTATCACTTTTCCAGAAATGTTAAAACTGAGTTGACTCTTTTAATAATCCTTAAAAAATGATTAGAAATCAAACTTAAAGTATTAAATTAAATTCCGTACTTTAGTTCGACGACTCTGGGAATGGAAGTAATACTTTGCAGCAATTTTATTATTTTGGTAAAATTTTTGAGTGTTATGTGTGTACCAGTGACGCAGTTATTTCATTTAAAATATTTATTTTCATCGAAATTCCTAACAATAAGTATTGGAATGCATTCGACTTCCGGCTATCGTGTTTTATGGTCATTTTGAAACTTTCTGTTCCAAGTTTTTGGTTGAGTTTATATATCAGATTTTTCGTTCGTCAGAAAACGTTGGATCTACTTTCACCTGCAGATATGACTCCGTTTCACCACGTTTGTTCTTTGCAAACAAAGCGATTAGCAAAGATTTATTCACTTATGTAAGACTTTCTACGAGTCACGTTATCTACGGTTTTGATCGCTTTCTTTTAACGTTTAGTGAACTGCTGCGATCGAAGAATCTTTCCACTCTCTAGGAAAAATATTATAGCCTAGTTTGGAGCACGTGGTCCAAGGTCTTTCTTTATCTTTTTTGTAATGTTAATCGCACGAATACACATGCAACATAGCGTTTCTTAAACTTTTTTGAAGAATTAAACACTTGTTCTTACTATATATCTACGGAACACTTACTCAAAATGAAAAACAAACAGATAACATAAAGTTCAAATGCATTTTAATTTTTTAGATTTTTTTCATTTTTACCTTATCAGTCACTACCATTCCAAATTTATTTATTACAATACGCATTATTAATTCGATTTATTTTTATCGAACTGTAACTATAATTTTTCTTTAAAATGTGACCTGATTTTGTAAATTTTGAAAATTCAAATTATCTATCACTTTATGCAATAAAAAGTTGCCTAACCATTGTAAAAAATTATTTCTCAAACCAGCTCAATTTTTAGTAGAAATATTGTTCACACCTTTCTTCAAACAACAATATCATTCACATTATTTATTTTGTCGCCATAAAAAAAATATTTGTTATATCATGAAAGTATGTTACATAAATAGTAAACATCTCAAATGGGTGGATTGTACCGTTTGCTTGTAATAAATTCCTCCAAAATGGTTCCTCTCGAGCCGAAGGAAACTACCCTTTAAAAAGACACTAAACTCGAAAGAATAATTCACAAAGTAGCATGATACTTCAAAACACAAATCGTAAAATTCATTTGTAGATGAAACTACAATCCCATTAGTTTTTATCACCGTCGTTCACTGCAAATCCATAAAGAATTTTAATCCCCGGAAGTTTCCGCGTATCATTAGACGGTAAGAAGTTCGGGTTAATTTCACCCTTTGAACTTAAGCGCTTGCGGACGAAAAATATACGTGTTCCTTATTTTTGGCAGCTCCCGGAAACTTGCAAAGTTTCACGAGAATCGCGGGAAAGGGGGAGAAGAGAGGGGGTGGGGGTGGTATTTCCCGGACGTTCGTTATTAAAGCGTCGAACAACAGAGTAGCAAAAAAAAAATATTTCGTCGTGTTCTTGGCACGGAGATCCATTCGTCGCTGAAACAATGGCGTCGCGAGGCGGTACGATCGCCGGTCCTCGCAGGTTAAATGGAAAATTGGCTGGCTGTGATTCGAGACGGTCCACGGTCGGTGCGTCGGAGTGAAAAGTTGCTGTACCAATGCTGCACACAGTGGTGGGGATATTTTGCGCATCATCCCCCTAATATCTGGAAAGCACCCTGACCCAGATACACGTACGCGCCGAACAACCGGACGGTCCTCTGCCAGGATCATCCCGACAGCAAATGAAAACCTGCGCGACATTTCCCCGTCGACTTTTCTGTTTATTGTTTACCGATCGACGCCGCGTCTCGACCGCGTTGCATTCGGCGAACCCCACACACGAGAGGGGGTAGTTTCGCGTGTACGTTGCGAAATTTAACCATCTTTGTTCATTTTTTAAAACTAAACGTTACATCCAACGCTGTAATTTATGTTTGCAATTTACTCAACTATCCTTTGGGAATACAAAATTAATTTTTCAATCGTTTTCATTCACTTTCCACGTTTTTATTACGCTCGCAGTACACATGTGTTCAAGATTGACTAAATCAAAAAAAATTAAAAAGATTTTTATTCGGTAGGTTTCCTCTTCTCGCCAGGAGCAAAGTAATTAATTTGTTTAATTATAATACATAATATTTGACATTTATATCTCAAAAAATTAAATAAGAAATAATTGATTTTTTTAGGTCTCACCTGAAACTACCCCCTCAGGATCACTTCCGGTACAGTTTGAAACACGTAACTTATTCCGATTATTTTCGAAACTACAATTAGTTAATTTACAATCTCCAATTTTTACGAAACCTGATAAATTTCTTTTCTTTGTGGGATTATATTCGTGTTCGGGGGTTGAAGCTTCCTTGTTTGAATGTTTTGAATGTTTCTAGGGAAAAAAGTTTCTGTAGACGAGTGGTAGGTTTAAAATGATTCGAGAGTAATATGTATACTTCTATATAATTGTTGAATTTTGTTAATTTGTATTAAGAGGAAACGATCGAGTCAATCGTGTCTTTCTGTATTGGAAGTTTTCTTTTGCGTACTCTTTGAACTTAAGACGCACCTCCATTTTAAAATTTTCGCCCTCTGTGAAGACACTGTTTATATTATTAAATTCCAGATTTAACAAATTTACTGTGTGGTAATATTTGAGGCCAGAGTATATCAGAGGCCAATAGTATAATACATCTTACGTGGTATAGCGTGTCAAAAATTACGATAAATAATATATATACAACAACACGTTCTTTTACCATTATTTTCTACTTTTAAATAGAAACAATTGCTAGAATAATTTGCTTCCTTTTAAAATTCCTCCATCAGTTCAATTTATTTAATTTCAAGGGATACACAATCTGCTAAAAATAATTTTGTTGTGAACAATCAATTTTAATTTTTAGTTTCGATGCATAGTTAAAGGTAGACGTCATCGTGGAATTCCTAAAATTTTTTCAAAAATCGCCAAAAATTCGGAAGACGCAGACGGTGATCAAAGTTACGCGACCGCATGTCACGAACAATCAGAACAGAAAACGTATGTTGTTATTGCCTCTAAATATAGTAACGTCGTAAATAATTCCTGGTGTATGCATGATGTAAATCCAGAGTCGATTAAACTCCTCAAAATTCCGTACCCGGCGAGTTAACGGAATTATCGCGTGGAAATTGTGCAATTTCCATTCGATACACCCCGTCGATCGCAAATGAATTTGTACTCGTTTCTATCGAGCCCAAGAAGGACATCGAGCATTCGATTAGTTCCTCGATCTACCGGGTCCAATTTGCCGAATAATTGTCGCAGTTTGCGCTCGAGGATCCACGAAGAAGCATCGACTCCATTTATTTGCACATCGAAACAGAACGCCCGTAGGTAATTGATGTTGCTTAAGATTAGATTTGGACTGGGCATTCGGTAAAATTATGGTTCCTAGTACCTTTGAATTTCAGTTTCAATCGTAGATGAATCATACTCGACAGTCGTATTTCTATTCTGTCTTTATTAATTTTTAATCTGTCTCCAAAATTTATTTTTTAAAAAGGGTAGCCATGTTAACACTGATTGCCACATCACTCATACATGAATAACAGAATTTTCTACTATGGAACTAGAAAAATTAATTCTGAAGTTGAAATGTCGAGGAAGATAAATTCAGGTAAGATTTGTCAATTTTAGAAAAGATTACAAAAATTAGTACTCAAACAAAACATAGTTTACAATGATCTGAAATCAAAATTTTAGTCTTGGAGAAAATTGTATCCTGGAAAAAATCATTGGAGGTTTGAACTAGGAGTACATTCAACTAAATTTAGTTACTTCTTTGATTCAAGTTTTAATTTTGTCTTAAATCTCATAATTTATATTCAAGAGTCCAATAAACAACTAGCTTTAAACATTTACTGATTTGAACAGAATCTCCATAGAAAATTGATGTTATCTAGGATTAGATTTGGAACTAAGAACTCATTTGATAAAGTTTACATACTTGAGTCATCAAATTCAGAGTTTTAATTTTGTCCTAATTGCCTAAATTTGCGCTTGGAACATCACTATCTATCATTAGCTTCATATTTATTTACCGAAACAGAATCCTCGTGAAAAATTAATATACTCCGAGACTGAGTATAGGCTAAGTACCAACTTGATGAAATTGAAGTACCCGACAGATCAGATCGAGAGTTCTAACGTTGTCTTAATTGGCCCAGTTTGCGTTTGGAAGACTAATAAGTATCATTAGCTACATATTCACTTATCGAAAACGGATCATTGCCACAAATTAGGTACCTTCTCGATGCGCCCATTAAGTTCGAATCTAAATTCTGCTTTTTAATCGTCATAATTGCGTTCGTGGATCGAATAAACCCTGCATTTATCTCCTCTTTGATACAAAAGAGTTAAGGGACCAATTTCTTCGCCACGATGGTCTCCGATGTCGGAGTTTCGCTACCTCCTTGCACAATTTTCGTTACTGGGAAAGCACGTTCCACGAATACACGATGGGAACTGGGTCCGATTGCACAAAATCTCCAAGTTCTCCGAAAGGGAGTCTGCCACCGCCTAACGTCATGCTTCAGATCCTCGGTGCTGCAGCATGCTGATCATAGCTTTCGATTGCTGCCAGTTTGCTCTCGGTTCTATCGTTGACTGGAATCCTGGTTCCCTTCCGCCGTTCTTCTGATTACAGCGTCCCGTTACGAAGACATGGTGGTGCCGCAATTCATGGTTTCTCTATTGTGCCGCGTGCTCGTGTTCAGAAGAGGTAACAAGAACTTTATTATATCCAAACCGCGATAAACGTATTAACAAATTTAACAAACCAACGCTTGATAAATTTGATCGGTTTCTGTGATCCACGTCTGATAAAAAGGGACGAAATTCGGGGAATTATCCTCGGGGATTCCCGAAAGTGAAGTTTCAGTGAAATTACTCGGTGATAAATAAATGGCTGAGAACCCGTAGGAAACGTTTCCTCCTTAATTAAAAGAGTCGTTCCGGCAACGTGTACGCGTGCTCCGGACGAAGCGAATAATGGCGGCGTTTGAATTTCGACAGGTTGCATTTAAGCCCCGTTTGTCCCGCTTTTGACTGAAATATTCGGAAAAGTTCGTTTCGCGGAAAGGAGCGTTTAGTGTCTGTGCAAACCTCCGGGCTCCTTCCTCGCCGTGCAGGATTTATTTAAATTTTATTCATAATCCGGGAAATTCCATTAGGAGGATATTCAAATTTCCCGGTGCCCCGCGCGAATTACCATGTAAATGGATAATGTTTTATATATAAACAGGAAGAATGGTCGCTGAACAATTTCATCCGAATCTCGGTTGAAGTGTCTCGGTATCGCGGTCTCGATCATCGAAGTATGAGGGTCGCGGGTACTTTCACTTCGTGTGAAGGGGACCAAGATGCGCAGGATTCAACGCGTGCTCCACTGCCACTATTTTGCAGTATTAATTAGTGCGTGCGATGAGTCGGCTTTCCCGGTCGCCGGACCCCACGAAACTTTATTTTCTTATCGTTTGCAACAAATATTCGTTAGAAATAATACATCTTCACGGTGAATGGTGTCGCGTGAAATTCCTTCGTAGAATTTCACCGTGATTTTCTCGGTGCTTTTCGCAGAGACGCGACTGTGTCATCGTCGAATCGGTCACGGAGAATGATTTCGCGTAACTGCAAAATCACGGCTATCGAGCCACGGATGCATTAGGTTAACAGTGCACGGTGATCAATAGCGCGAAAGCCAGGTTGCACGTAGCTGTTCCGTTTCGCTTGCCGTTTCGCGCCTCGACTTATGGGCTCGCGACAACAATGCCCGCGGTTGATTAACTCGAGCATAAATCGCTTTTAACGACCAGCCACTTTCTCTGACATTTCGACGATCGTTGTAAAAAATTGCCCGAGTGGCCGCAACGATGATAATACGTCGGAATAGAATTTGCGGAAAGATCCGCGCTTGGGAGCCTCGACCAGTCAGCCACGAAATAGTCGACGGTTAGGGAGGAGTGTATCGAGTATAGCTTACGTTCCAGCTGAACGTTTCGTACGCTTTATCAAAAGAGTATTTCACTTTTAAAAAGAAAGTTTTGAGATGGTTCAAGGATCGTAAGAATTGTTTTTTGAAAATATCTCGTGGATACTTTATGAAGGAAATAACTAACATCGAAATTAAAGAGCAAACAATTCTGCATGAGAAAAGTTTCATTTTTAATAACTCTGATAAGCAAATCGTAGATGTTCATAGAAACGTACCCTCAAAAATATAGAAAGGTTTGTAATATTAGAAAGTTTTTTGCAAATAACCAACATCAAAATTAAAGAGCAAAGAATTCTCCATAAGGAATGATTCACTCATATTTTTAATAACTCTGATATTTTACGAACAAATAACACTAAAAAAACAAGATTTTTATGGTAATTTTGTTGTAAAATTGTATTATTTAACGTTCTTTTCTTCTGAAATAGCTCTCGACCTTTTAGACACAGAATGCACTAATTTTCGAGTGAAACCTAATGCAATTTTCTTTTAAAATTCTCTAAATAATCTCTAAAAAATGTTATTTAGATACATTATGTAATAGTTATTCTCAAATTACCTGGGTATTCTATTGAAAGATTGAATTATTTCCTAAATGCAACTTTTCTGAATTTCTTTTTAAATGGCGTTTCAATATCTCCAAATATACTCACCGATCGATGATAATGCTTATAGAAGCTAACCTTTCTAACTCAGCCGCTGTCATTGCACTCCAAACCATTATTATCTCCACATTTTAAGATTGGAATTATATTTTTTAATTTTAGTATCACTTTACCATTCTCGATCTATTTTCATCGGTGAACAAAATGCATTTCAAACATTCTAAATCTATTTCTTGGTCTTCTTTAGGAAATTCAATCGATGTTAATATTCATATTTCAAGCGCAAAACAATGCAAACCCTTTATTTCCACAGATTTCTATCGAAACCAATTATTTATCGATCAATCAGCTTACCAGTCCAAGACAGACGTACAAACATCGATTTTGTCTATTGTAATACGCTTAAAGAAATATCTTTAATTTACAATCCTTTTGTTTTACCAATCTAAAATCTGCATGAATATCACTGATATTTAATAGAGCGATGAATAGAGATTCGCTGAGAATCTACAAAGAGTCTATCGCGATCATACTAACCGCGATATGCTAGGATAGGATCGCATAATATGTACCAAGATGTTGCTTTATCGCGTAGCAATTAAAATCAGAGTTGCAACTTTCTATTAATAAATCCATGTTTCGAACACCATCATCAAATTTTTAAATAGAAAAAAATGGCACTTTATAATATTGGCAAACAAGCCAAACCCTAAAACGAATGTTCCAAAGACACATTGCTTTATTTCTTTCAACTGATCAATGCTTTTTATATATTTTTCAGAAACATGAACATTTAAATTCGTCTGCTTTAATTTATACAATTATAAATATTTATTATATTAGACTTTTTTGTTAGAAACAAAAGTTTGATGATTTGAGGGGCCACAATAATTTTTTTCTGACGCGTAAAGGACATACGAAGGTCAACACCAATCATTGGAAATGTACCAATTTCCTAGCTTATTGTTTCACCCATTATGAAAAATTATTGGTTTAAAAAATGTTTCGACTTCAATATCAGTCGATAACTCATTACTAGTCTGCGGATGTTTATGCATTTATGGGAAATTTTAATCCTCAAAAAACTACAGAATGCATTTAATATGCAAAAATATAAGAAATACTTAAAGATACGAATTATTATATTTAGGGTTTGAGACAGCCCTCTGAGAAGCTTCCGTTTCATTAATTCTATTAATAAAAATGTGAATTTGCATAAAGATCCGCAGTCTACTCATTACATACTCGAACCATCAAACTTTTCTTTCTAATATTATTCCGTGTCATCGAGTATAGTTTCGAAGATATTCAGCTGGATCGATTTAAACGGGGCACTCAGTATTTTTCTTTTCTACTTTTAAACTCCTCGAATTACTCAGCTTGCAATTTGCCATTCGATTTATCGCCCACGAATCGTAACAATTATTTTCTAATTACATCAACGCATACAATTTGCACGCGATACGACTGAAAAATTGGCTTAGAAATATTTCTGTTGGCCAAGGAATAAAGTAGCAAACTGGAAGCTCGTCGAGAAAAGTCTGACGTTCGCGTTCCCCCTAAAAAGATGTCGTTTTGTCAAGATCAGCAGGAAGGCGGTTCCCAAAAATAGCCTACTGGGATTATGCCAGGATTTTCAGCGCACCCCTCGCGCAATTCACGCGTGGCCGAGCATTGATATTATTTTGTGCACTGTCAGGAGGGAGGAACGTAACGCCGCACACGTCACTGCGACGTATGCAATGCGGTTTAATAGTTCAATAGAGACCGTAAACGTAAACACGACAGCCACAAAGCGATCCGGCCCGGAATTCCAGGCACGAATGGAACATAAATCAGCAACAACGTTTGTTTACGGCCCGCGAAATTTTATCCCGGCCACTTATCCGACGGTTTCTAATTTTAACGGAGGGCGGCTATTACCGGTTTCCCTCGTTCCGATGGGAATAACTATGGGAAAGGAAACCGCGACGGCTATCTGTCGCGTGATCGTCAAACAATGTCGTGCTGACGCGTGATTAAATTTTTACGAACCGTGTCGCGGTGTTACGTGTCCGATGTTTACCTAACGCGAACGTAACACAAGCGGCATCTCCGGAACGAACGAGCAAGTGGCATAATTGCTCGCGCAATCAAAGCCTATCTTACGTATTACAATACTCCAGTCGATCAATTAATCTTCAATTTTCTCAAATTTTATTCGAATCACTTAATAAAAAGCATTCTTAGAGGGTTCTTCTAGTGTGAAACACGTATTTCTAGGGATTTTTTAGAGAATTGTAACACCTTTGGTCACGAGATTTATTCATATATGTTTCAGTGATATTTCTAAATTTTTTGGGGAGAAATAGTTGAAATTGATGACACTGCTTACTCTCAAATATAGTCGTTTTTAAAAAAGATCGTTCTGTTTGAAATGAAGGCTACAGCTTGCAATGGAACAAAAGAAACCGAATGAACTTAAAAACGCAACTTTCTATACACACAACGCAAAAGTTAAAAGTTGCCTCGTGGAAGAGAAAATGAAAGACTGGTCATTTGAATTGAGGTTATCCATTAATATTAATAAATCCTGCGAGTCTCTGTTCTCCGAACGTGAAACTCTCAATTTATCGTAACCTCTGGGTCAAGTATTCATTCTAAGTTTTTCATTTCCACTTCGTTCGAAGAATTAGCCCGTGTACAAGTAAATAAAATTGAAAAGCTCAAAGCATCGCTCTGCTGCTTCTGTTAGACTTGACCCTCGAACATTTGACTCCCGTTCGAGGTTCGCTTTTACAGCGCTATTGTGTCATCCAGAACTATTAAATTTCAAGTGTCACGTTCCTTCGACGCGAACGTTTCAAAGCCCCGGAAACTTTCAGGATGACCCGATAGATAATAGAGTCCGTGCACCGTTGGAATGTATTCCCATCGTATCGGAAGTTTGTCCGCCCCCATCGTTCGAGCACGTTTGCTCGTATCGATGCATCGATCGTGTGTCGGTGCGGTGTCGTCGGGAATTATTGTCGTCGCGGCGTTTTATCGCCGAGGAAAAAAGGCCTTCGACAGGTACGACGCGTCCGGGTGATCGTCGATTGGCAACGCACGCGACATCACGTGTCACGTTCTCAGGTTCAATGACGACGACCGCGAGAATTGGTCGAGGCCGAGGCGTCGCCATGCGCGAGCATTCCGACTGCCATTCGAGACAACGTTTCCTTTCTGTGAACCAGGTGACGTTCCGCTCTACGTTTCGCCGCTCCCGACCGGCGTCTGCTGGTACTGCTGCCCTATCAACGTGGACCGCGACGTCAAGTATCTGTTGTACACCAGGTACGTTCGCTCCGGAGTATCGATCGGGGCCAACCTTTGTAGCGGGAAAGTAATAGAAGACGCGAATTGGCTTGCACCGGTTCGCTAAACTCTGAACGAATTAGTCGTGTACGACGACGAAACGCAATTTAATACAATAGGAACTAATCTTGTAATTAGATCGTTGGAATTTTAGCCTGGAAACGTTATACGAGGTGCTTCGCGTAACTGGGATAAAACTATAACGAGTCGAAGCCAAATCGTACACCACAAATACGAAAATATATTTCATTCGAAAAAAGAAGAAAATAAGGCAGACATATATTGTAAATATATCTGTATATATTGTGTAATAATGACAAAAATAATGAATGTTAACATAAAAAAGTTATTAAAAAATTAAATCGAAAAATTTCAAATCATTCCGAAAAAATTATTTTTGACTATGGGGATTAATTACAGTCATTTCTTGTCATTACACATACCCACGAAATCCTACGCACTTTCGAGAAAAAAATTCTTTACCGAAACTACGTCTGGTCCTGACATTCCGATTCCCCTGAAATTTCAAAAAGTTTCAAATCATTCTGAAAAAATTATTTTTGTTTGCTGGGGTCAATTGCAATCATTTTTGGTGAATACACATATCCCCGAAATCCTACCCAGTTTCGAGAAAAAAATTCGAGTAGATGTAAAATTTCTCGGCGAAAAAAAAAATTTCAAATCGTTCTAAAAAAATTATTTTCAGTTACAGGGGTCGATTACAATCACTTTTGGTGATTAGATATACCTCCGGAATCCTACGTACTTTCGAGAAAAAAATTCTTTACAGAAAATATACTGTATGGCCGAAATATATATATTTTATATAGAACCCTATAATTTGAATTGCACTGTTCGATGCAGTTTCTAAATCTCTACAAAATAGTGTTAACGTGTTTATACTCTAAACTTAATAGTTCAGGAGTTATATTATATTTAAAGTTCACTACATTTGTTTAATTAGTGATAAGACAGTTGGCATGATACACGAAAAGTTTCTCTATTAATTATTATTTAATATCTTGTGGGGCGATTCTACAGACAATAATTCAGAATCTACGTAATTTGTAAACTAAGAAGAAGCACAGTTAAATAATTTTTATGAGACACTCAATTGCACTCAATAATCCTGACTGCTTGTTTTCTGTTTTCATGTTAGACGGAATCCAACTTACGCCACTACGTTGGATATAAGGAACCCGTATTCGTTGCGAAACAGCTATTTCGACGGTAGATATCCAACCATAATCTACATCCATGGGTACAGCGATAGCGCGTCTGGTGGTAGCTCCACTGCAATTCGAGACGGTATTTTCACTCTTTCTCAATTCCAACTTTTCTACTCCAAATGTAACTTGTTTCAAATCAAATTCACCCTTTTCTTTTGCGTTTTGGAATACTTGATCTCATTGGTCAAACAATGCTCTACTTCTTCTACCGCCATATTCTTCAACGTCGAATTCCATCGAAATTATCGTCGGTTACCATAATTTTCATACTATACTCGAACACAATTGCGAATTCCATTCGTATACATCTTTGTATCACATAGAATAAAATTTGGAATATTTCAACAATAAATTTACATTGAATTTTATTTAAAAATTTTCAATTTCATCTTCGCCAAGTCTTATTTTTGTACAAAGGTCAACACACCATTTAAAATTTTTACTTGGAATTGCTTTCCAAGTTTAATCATTTTTTTTGTTATTTAACAATTATTTTCACAACTATTCGCATTCAAATGAAATGGAGTTAAAAAAGATCTCGTGTTAAATATCAGTCCCCTTGAGAATATCCTCAATGATCAAGGATCTCTAGTTTTGAAGTTACGAATACGTAAGAGGAAAATAACAGATGATTGCAATCTATTTACTGTTGCTGTCTCATACATAAACACATTTTGAGGCTATTGAAATTAATGCTGTCCTTAATAATGTTAAGAATTCCTATAGTTCGAAATTCTAGGTTGTCGTGTGTATTTATAACTTTTGATACTGTTAGTCACATTCCCAGACAGGAATTGATGGAACTGGCTGGGGGACATTAGTAGTTACAAGAATCACCAAGCCACTCAACGATGTTCCTGACAGAATGATGCATCGCGGATCTTTCCGAACTTCACCTCCCTAGCTTGGAAACTTGAGCATACGCGCGGTATCCATATTTCGAAACGTTCATGACTGACATATTCATTTCAACCCTTTTCAATTGAAAACGCTAGAGTGCTGTGCAGGAACAGACGTTTCAGCTTCGCGAGACGTTCGATACGTTTGCATCGAAATGCAACTGTGTCACTAAGTTAAAATCGAATGAACGTCACGATGAAACCCGTGCCTTAAAATAATTTCCGTACAGAATGTTTCTTTACATGCGAGCAACAATTTAGGGAATGATTCTACAGACCTTCTAAATTTTTCTAACACAACAACAAATGAATTTTTTTTTCATTAAAAATATTAGACACAATCTATGAGTAATAACTTACACTATGTTACGTGAATATATTTTTTAGCCTTAGGTAATGTTTATGTAAGAATATTGCCTTTTCAACTCATTTATTTCGCCATTCCACGTTGCTCTTCCAAAAGATTTATTTATAATATTGTTTCGAATAATTCTGACTTATGATAATTTATCTACACCAAGCAACGATTCGAGCCTTCGATGAAGTAACATAGTACGCCACTTCTTAGCAAGTGTTTACGTTTCGCGCGAGAAAATCTTTCCTCGAGTTAATACCGAAGTCACGTTCGTTTGTCCAATCTGACCGATTGTTTTTAGGATACCTCAAGCGTGGACAGTACAACGTGATCCTGGTGGACTGGGCAATGTTGGCAGGCTTGCCTTGGTACGTGACAGCAGTCGGGAACACGAAAATCATTGGACCCCACGTTGCTCGTTTGGTGAGATGGCTGGACGCTCAACGAGCGGTCCCTTTGTCCAACTTGCACGTGATTGGTTTCAGTTTGGGCGCGGAAATCGCCGGGTTCATGGGGAAGGCGTTAGGCCGGCGAAAAGTAAATAATAATATTCGATACGATGGAAATAAAAGTGTTTCTTCTTTTGGTCAAAAGATAATTGCAAGAAAATAAGTAGAAAAAAATATATGTTCAAAGTCCCAAATACATAACGATTAACTTCTTTTCCAAAAGCAGCAAAATAAAATTGCATATTTAAACGGAAATACCAACTTGACAAAAGAATTTGCTTTCAGGTTGGACGGATCACTGGACTGGACCCAGCATACCCTCTCTACATGAACAGTGGCAGAGAGGGACACCTAACAGCGGCTGACGCGTTGTTCGTAGACGTGATCCACACGGACGGTGGCCATTTTGGATTCCCGAATCCTCTGGGCCACGTGGACTTCTATCCAAACGGTGGTAGAGCGATTCAACCGGGTTGCAACTTGCAAAGTGTCATTCGTAGGAGCATTTCGCGACTCATCAATCAGTACAGTACGATCCTCAATGCCTCATCAATTTACACGTTGACTATCATGGCATTTCAATTTTACTTCAAACACTTACATACATATAATTAATATATAATATATAATTTAATTTATTTATAATATAATATATAATTTAATTTATTTATAATATAATATGTAATTTAATTTATTTATAATATAATTTAATTTAAATTATATATTATACATTTATATATAATATAAACTAACTGTCCAGTTTGATTGAACGCAACGAAGGAAGATAAGGCCAAGAAATTTTTTAATATTGATCATCGAGCATGATCTACGAATATGATACGAATTCTATTATAATTGATCAAATAAGTAACAAACGTTATCAAGAACATCTAACTTAAGAAAATCAGACCACTTAAAAATTTTCGAATTTTATATATTCTTGTCAAAATTTAAGAAAACAGGATTCCTCGTGTCTTTTTCATAATGAAGTTTATACGAATGTATTTATTTTTCTGTTCTTAGCATCGCATTTTAAGCTCATTTTGTTGATCGATATGGCTCGTTGATATCATATTTTAGAGTGGTTTGTACACGTAAAGTAGAAAGAAGTCAACGTGTTAATTTAGACTTAGCTAGACGACTCGATCTGTCGTGATTAATTTAAAAATGATTTATTTATTGTTCAGTTGTATGCGGACATAATCGAGCTTGGATGTTTTACGCGGAGTCCGTGGTGAATCCTTTCGGGTTCCCCGCCAGTCGGTGTCCAAGATGGCGTGCGGACATTCGAGCGAATTGCATGTGGACACCGGACGTATTAATGGGATTCGCGGTGCAGTCTACAGTCAGGGGCAAGTTCTATTTGAGGACAAACGCGGAACCGCCGTTCGCCAAGAACGCGACCGGTTACATCGGGAAATGACGGGCAACAGTTTCAGTTTGGATGAACCAGACGTGTATCACTGATGTTATTACCGATGTTACGTCCCGACGAACGGCTCGCTAACCGCGAGCATTTGACACTTCCTTGGAGTCAGCATTGCCACCGAAATCCTCTCTCTTTCTCAAGAGTTCTGCGCGCGGAGGTCCGTGAAGTGGGTCAGTATTGTCATCGAATTCCTCTCGGTATCTCAAGAAACTTGCACACGGAAGTCGGTAAAGCAAGTCAGCGCTTCAACGTGGGTTGAAAACCCAAAAATTAGGCTAGCACGAGGCAGTCAGTTGTTAAGTCACGAGAATTCGTCGGTTAACCCGCGAAAGACTTGAGCTTCTCGTCAACCACCTTCTATTTAAAATTTATTATTATTATCATTATTAGTAATATAAGTGATTAGTGCATTCCTAAAAAATTAAGCTACGACTCGTTGTGTGAGGAAAAAGAGAAAAAGAAAGGTAGAGAGAGAGGGAGGATACAGCGCTAACTTGGTGAGCAGAAAAACTCGTAACCCATATGTAACCCAATAAGTCAGCCAAATCTAAGGTTTTCTGTTTTCATGAAATATATACAGGGTGAGGCATTTTAAACAGGTCACCTGAATAACTCGCTTGTTTTTGAAGATAGGAGAAAATGCATTAGACCAAACTTATTTGGTATCGGGGGGCTCATAATCTGGTATTACCAATTTTTTTGTAGGTGGAGGCGTCAAGGAGATATGAAGGTCAACTTTGTTTTTTTAAATGGAACAGTATATTTTATTACTTACATTCTGATAGAGTGTTTCAAGGCGAATACAATGACCTATTATTAAGGTCATTCAAGGTCACCCAAAGTCAACTGCAATAGAAAATAAATTGTGTCAAAGCACTCTTCGAACACTTGGATACTTTGATACTGCTATTACAAGTGTTCAAAATGGCGACCTTGAACATGGATACATAGTCTAAATCGTTGCAATACTGATGACACTGCCTGGCAAATTTCATTTGTATCTATTACAGAGCAAGCTCTTCTTATACGTTCTTGCATGTCAAGTTTGGTAGTTGGTTTTTCGCGGTACACTTCTGCCTTTAATTTTCCCCACAAATAAAAATCGAGAGGTGTCAGGTCTGGGGATCGTGCCGGCCATTTGTTACTTCCTGATCGACCTACCCAAGAATCTCCAAATTTTCTATTTAGAAATTCTGTAACATTGCGTGCTGAATGAGCAGGGCATCCGTCTTGCTGGAACCACATGGATTGTCGTATGTCCAGTGAAGTGTCTTCTAACAATTCTGGCAAAACGTCTTCTAAGATTCTCAGGTACTTACTACTATTTAGCGTGCCATCAATAAAATATGGACCAATTATTTTATTATGAAGAAGACCGCACCAGACGTTTACAGACCAAGGTCTCTGTTTGTCGACTTCTCTCAACCATCGTGGATTATCTACCGACCAGTAGTGCATGTTGTGACGGTTAATTGCTCCATGGTTTGTAAATGTGGCCTCATCGGTAAATAACAATTTACTCAAGAACATTTCATCGTCTTGTAGTTTTTGTAAGCCCCATTCACAAAATTGTAAACGTTTTGTATAATCATTTTCAGTTAATTGTTGATGAAGTGATATGTGGAACGGATGAAATTTGTTAATGTGTAATATTCGTAAAATACTTCGTTGACTGATGCCACTTTCGCGTTCCAGTTGTCTTGTACTAACATGTGGATCTTGTATTACAGCTGCTACAATATTTATCGAGTTTCCATCATCAGTTGCTCGTTTGGCAAGATTACGTGTTTTGTTATCCACAGTTCCAGTTTCTTGGAACTTTTTTATAATGTTTGTAAAGACAGAAAGTGAAGGTCTATTATTACGATCGGGAAATCTTTCACTATACACACGTACCGCTTCCCTCATAATTCTATGACATTCACCATAAATAAGAACCATTTCTACTTTCTCTGCTATCGTGTAACGCATTTTAGAAAACTAAACACTTAGACTGAATAAATGTTACGAAGCTGTGCTCTAGTCGGTAGTAAAATTACCAATAATGTTTGAGGATACGGATAAGCGTACAATGTGATTGAATGTTTGTTTATCTTTTGTGACCCGTGTCACGCAATACACACACGTGATACACAAGTATTCGAAATGTACTCTGACACAATTTATTTTCTATTGCAGTTGACTTTGGGTGACCTTGAATGACCTTAATAATAGGTCATTGTATTCGCCTTGAAACACTCTATCAGAATGTAAGTAATAAAATATACTGTTCCATTTAAAAAAACAAAGTTGACCTTCATATCTCCTTGACGCCTCCACCTACAAAAAAATTGGTAATACCAGATTATGAGCCCCCCGATACCAAATAAGTTTGGTCTAATGCATTTTCTCCTATCTTCAAAAACAAGCGAGTTATTCAGGTGACCTGTTTAAAATGCCTCACCCTGTATACAGCAATTTTGGTTTCATTTCGTTTCTTTTCCCTAATATACATTTTCCCAATCTTCTCCTCAACGAGCAAGGAGTTTGTATAAGCTTAGATCAACTCCGATTCCATATAGTTTCCTTCGAGAACTCGAAGGTGTTTAAGCGTTACGCCGGGGTACGAGCAATCGCTCACAACCTTGTTAACTTGATTAACTTGCTTGAATCCTTTGAATCCCGTTCAGAGAAGGTTGCACTGTCCCTCATCGGGAAGACGATAATTCACGATTAATTTCTCTATCTCTATTTTTTTGTTGCAATTATTCCACTACTGTAGATTCGATTTTCAAACGATTCGTTTTCGAGTCTGACAATATTTTCCCCGACAAGCCAGGAACGACTACCATAATTCCTGCCACGAAGCGGGTAAGATACGTCACGGTGGGATTTATGATTCTGGAATTTAGAGACTCGCCAATTTGCGCCACGAGCACGATACCGTCCAAGTTATTCCGTCCAGTGCGTGACAAATCGATGTAAATAGTCGACAACAAAAATCTTCGCCCATCGCGATACGTTTCTTCTATCGGTGATCGGAGATAGAACGAAAACTGACCATGAAACACCGAAAACTTGAACGATGCGCGGTTCTCGTGCCGCTCCCGATGCATCTTGGCCGCCGTCGAAATATGGAAATTCCAAGGACAAGTGCTACCTTATTCTCTGTTTTTAGGCGATCGATAAGGGTTGGTGGGAAAGTTCCCGCGAGTCGAGGGTAATTGCGTTAAACAGTTTATAAGCCAGAGTCTGGCATCGGAGAGAACAGGGCCACAGCGAATAAAAATGTTCGAGGGGAGAGCTGGCGAGTTTCCAATACCTTTCGATGCTTTTATTTTGCAGTGATTTTGCTGGATGAACGAGGAACTAAAAGTCTGTGAATTCGAGACTCGTGCGTTCGTATCTAAGGGCTGGAGAGCACGGTCAAGGGTTATCGATCACTTGCCGCGAAGAATCATAATATCGCAGGCACATATTATGATCCTTTAGGTATCAAAAGGAATCGAACTCCAAATGATACTTGTTTTTTACAAGTTCGGATCTGACACGAGAGTTACGAACTCTTCAGTACTTTGACAATCTGAAACGATACTTTCAAGTGTACTAGAACCTTTGGTGTGCCATAAATCTTAAGAAAAAATCCAATAGTGGGATCTTTTTTCATTAGAAACATTAATTTTATTAGGCCAGTCACTGTAACTGAGAGGTCACAACTGCATTTTTTAAAACTTTGAGCCTCAGTCGTAGATTCCTTCATATCGAAGCAGAAAATTAAAACTGACATTTTCAATCGAGAATAACTTTATGATGCAGACACAAATGTTTCTACAGGGGTATGTTGACAGATGCCCAAGTTAATTGAACGACACTTATGATCTATATATTTCGACCATCACTTACCAAAGCCAGCTATTGAACCACGACAGAAGCAAAGTTGTACACCTAATACCACATATTTACGGAGTAAATGAATTTAAAATGATGGTATTGTCATCAAAGTTTCGCTCGTTGTGCACGAGCAACGATTTCTTCCGGTTGAAACGTCATATCGATTCTCGAAAACGCCTCTCCGCGAGCGTCAAAGAACCAAAGAACGACATCGAGTCGAAGAGGATGAAAGCATTTCCCGCAGGAAGCAGTCGCGAAATCCTATCCCCCCGGAGTCGTTCAGCGCAGGAGAAATCATACGTCAAGCATTTGTCCCGCGCGGATCAGAAGTTTCCCGCGAAACATTTACGGGGCACCCACGGCAGAGATTTTCCAATCCGTCGTAGCAACAAAGACTGTTTCTGCGACGCCGCGGCTACCTTCTCCCTCGTTCCCTTTGTCTCCCTTTGCCAGCATCGCGGATAGTTTCCAATCCATAACGCTCGGACGGGCATCCGTGCGAGACAATGCTTTCCTCCTTTTTTCACCGCTGGCTTCTTCCACGTTCGGTCTTTCGAGTAGACGCGGTCCTTTCATCCGAAAAAGCTCGTACGATGCAAATGACGAAGGACTCCCCAACCACCCCACCTCGTTCGTTCTTATTCGCTTCGAAAACGAACACTCGAGACGACTATCTGCTGCTCTTGCATCTAGGACGGCAAGTGTTGACTCGAAATGTTTGCACGAGAATTCATGAACTCGGCACGCGTCCGATGCCTTGGAAAGAATCCGAAGCTCGAGTGTCTAAAGGACCCTCGAGAACTCGATAGCGATACAAGTAGTACATAGTTCGTTGTACGAGTGGCTAGTGCTCGGTGCAACGTAGTCAAAAAACGTTTATCGAAATATTGTGAAACTGGTCAGCGATTTGGCTGAACGCGTAGGAGAGTCTCTTTGGTCGAGGCTCGCGTTGTACAAACATTATAATGCGAACCACGATAGGAGACGAGAGGAGGATGTTAAAAATTCATTAAGTATAGTACGGGCCACGATATAGCGAGGTTGTAAACTCCAGTAGGTGTCAAAGTTCACAGGTTTCCCGGAACAAGTGAATTGACAGAAATATGAGCAGCTAAGGGCCTTTG